CTGCTAACCAGAAGGCTGGCCCTTCAAACCCACCAGCCACTCCTTGGAAGGAAGGTTGGGCAATCTACTTCCGTAGTGAACTCAAGGAGGGGTTGCTATGAGTTGGGTCCAACTCGACGGCACATAACAACTACAACTATATATATACACATATATATATATATGTGTGTGTGTGTGTGTGTATACATATATATATATTTATGTGTGACAATGGTCTATATACATATTATGATTTTACTGCATACAATATTGTAGCATGTACTTTGCTCATTCTGTAGTTCTCAGATATTCACAGATGTATGTAATGTCTTCAACACTCAAAGACAAATGAAGTTCAAGTTTATAAAGATACTGATAATAAAAGGCAAAAATAATAAGTATTAAAGAAAAGAGTTATTTGACTATGTCAGAATATATTTCTGAAAAATTTGTTGGAACAAAACCCTGTTGTAAGTCAGTAACTCCCTATGTATCTAGTTTAATCATTTATGCTACAAGCTTTCTGAAGGAAGAACCTGGATCTTGTAATTCTTTATTTCCATTTACAGTTCTGAAAGCCTTGTGAGTGTTCCCTACATATCTGGAGATTTCTTAATATATATGAATGAATTATTTTGTGTAGCTGCTTATGCATCAGAGTGAAATTGTACTCATAAGGAATTAACAAATGATTATTCAGAAGTAGACTGTGCACCTCTTCTGATGAGGTGCCTCTGGGTGGACTCCCAACTCCAGCCTTTCAGTTAGTGTCCCTGAGTGTTAACCATTTGCACCACCCACATATTCCAAATGTCTATTAGTTATCACAGATTAGTCTCATATTTTTGTCTTGTTGATTTTGCCTTACATATTGAATATATAATTGTTAATAAAATGATATCATTGTTAAATAAAAGTATTCTCAAAATATCAACTTAACACACTGCATACACTAAAGGTGATTAAAATAGTTTAAACTATAAAACATATTATGATAACCCTTTTATTTAAATGTGATTTTTTTTCTAATGGTTTCTATTCAGTTAAGTCCAACTGATAACATTCCTTATTTTTTAAAGCAAAAATGGCGTTGGCAATATGAATAGCTGTATCTCCATTGTAAAAATGTGTTATTTTAACTTATTTCAGGTGATTGTTAAATCTGGGCCAGGGACTTTTCTCAGTCTGGCTGTTTATGACAATTACATCTTCTGGTCAGACTGGGGAAGACGAGCTATTCTGCGTTCAAACAAATACACAGGAGGAGATACAAAAATTCTTCGTTCTGACATTCCACATCAACCTATGGGAATCATAGCTGTTGCCAATGACACCAATAGCTGTAAGTTGCAATAGAAAGCACATTTCTTTCCTAATTGTATTAGCTCTTGCAAAACATAGCTATGTTTTCTAATAATACTTAGTTTGATTTATTTCTTAGAGTTCTTTGGGGATAGTGTTCAGAAGATTACTTTTCAACATACTAAAATGATGTTAAAGGTTTAAAGGCAACTTCCATAGTGTTTAATTTATCACCAGAGGAGCAATCTATTTTTAATTATTTTGATTCTAGAATTTTATTTCACTATCTCATACCTCACAGTTCTGAATATGCAAAAATCATATTGTTTCCATGATAATAATATTCCTTGATAAACAAGCTATGCATATCAGCTTAAAACTTCTTTAATCAATGGA